GCTAGGAAGAAGGAGATCTCTAGGCGGTCCAATCCTCCTTTCCCTGAGCTGTCATTCCGCCCATGCTCATAATCTCCATCAGGTCCTCTCACGGTGGCAATTGAAAAACAAAAGTGCCCACAAAAGTGACCCTTGGTTTCTTTCATAGAATAGAACTAGTCAGGGGTTCCAAAATTTCAGCAATGGGTTCTCTGCCCCGTGGCTGGGTGGGTGTGGCCATGGTGGCCGTGGCCTAGTCGACGTCCTGCACTATGGGGAGGGCGGTGTTTTCACCTTCCCCAGGCTCCGGAGGCCAAAAGCTGGCCCGTTTCTGGCTTTCCGGAACTTCTGGAAGGCCTGTTTCCCCCCCTCCCCAAGCTCTGTATGGGCCCTGCACTTACGTGGCATGATGAATGGGCCATGTGGAGACTCCTGGGAGGGGCAGGGTGGGCTAGGAGGAGAGGGGTGGTGTGGGAGGGAGGGGCCAGCCAGGGGTGGGATTTGGAGGTTCCCCGAACTGGCCATAACGTTAGCTAAGGGTTCCTCCATATGGGGGTTTCATCACTGGAGGCTTTGAAGAAGAGATTGGGCTGCCATTTGTCAGAAATAGTGTAGGGTCTCCTGCTTGAGCAGGGGGCTGGACTAGATGACCTATAAGGTCCCTTCCAACTATGTTAATCTGTTAATCTGAACCCGGGCAAACCTGTAGCAGCCCACCCCTGGAAGTAGTTGTGATGATCCTTGAAAAGTACAGTTTTAAGCTCCTGACAGCCACTATATTAGACTGTGAGCTAGGAATACAATTCCCAGATATCCACTTGCACAGCCCTTGTTGCCCATGATACCTGGAACGGTGATCATCATACGTCTTCGAGATGTATGTCAAGGTAGTCCTCGATTTACGACCACAATTGAGTCCCAAATTCATACTGTTAAGTGAGGCATTTATTAGGTGGATTTTGCGCCATTTTTACGACCTTTCTTGCCTCCGTTGTTAAGTGAATCCCTGCAGTTGATAAGTGGGTAACCTGGGTTGTTGAATCTGACTCCCACAATGATTTTGCTGGTCAGAAAGTCACAAAAGGGGGATCCCATGACCTTGGGGCACAGCCACGGTCATAAGTATGAACTCGTTGCCGAGTGTCTGAATTTTGATCAGGGAGATGCTGGAAAGGTCGTAACTGTGAAAAATGATCATAAGTCACTGTATTCGATGCCCTTGTAATTTTGAATGGTCACTGAATGAACTACTTGTACACACAGCTTCATGATGAAATGTAAGTAGACAGATTAATTTTTATATCCATTCTCAGCTCTCAAGCTACCAGAAAGGACCTGGGCGGATCTGTTCATTTGCATTCCATTATAGATAGTCCTCAATTTACTCCAGTGGTTAAGTAAGGGGCAGGATCTGATATACTTTTGGATGCTATTTGGAACCCTGGCACCAGATGGATATTTCTCCCAGCACTAGATTTTTGGAGGATAAGATAGTCCTAATAAATGGCACCACACCAGCCTGGTATCTCTCTCAATACATTCTCAAACCTTTTGGAATAATAGAAGGCACCCAAAGTACAAAGTCCTGGCAGGACAAATTAAACAATTAAACATTTGTCTCTTTGTGCATTCTAAATAGAGACCTTAAGCTTTCCCAGCCTGCAAGAATTTGACGTTTCCATTCACCCCATCCCTCAATGCCATGTAGCAGGCACAATAGCAATGAGTAACAACTTGGAACCACTTCAGAGAGGACTCCTTCCAAACTAACCGTGCCGAATGCGATCCGTCAAGAGACACTGGACAGCCTCCCTGTTTATTTTATGGAAGGAAACAAAGACAGGAGAAGCAGGAGCCAATCAGGGGATTTCTCCCTCATCCATATTTGGTTCAGTGAGCCCTTGGGATTGTCCAACCATATAGCACTTCCAGAAAAGAAAAGAAAAAAAAAGAATAATCTGCTTGCATCTTCCCAGACTATTCCAAACCGCAATCTGACTTTCTGATTCCTTTTTTTAAAAAAAATTAAAGTGAACCGTGTGTGGTTTAATCACAGTTTATTGAGTAAAGCAAATCGATCTCATTCACATACCGTGCTTGGCCACAAAATGGCTAACAAACTAAATGGAACATGCACAGCATGTAATTTAATTTTGTTTAGAGTTTAGCTTCAGGGTTTAGGGCCGTGATGGTGAACCAGTGGTGGGTTTCTACTAGTTCGGAGTCGGACCGGTTCGGATGAACCGGCAGTAGTTTGGCGGCCTGGGTCACTGTAACTGGCAGCAACCCAGGCCTGCCACGCCCCAAAAAACGGTTCTCCGGGTAGCGCCTTAGGTGGCGCCATCTTGTTTTTTGCTTCAAATTTTATTGCACTGCGCATGGGCGCGGGGCACCCATGAGCAAACCAGCAGTAGTGACGGCCAGAACCCACCTTTGTGGCAAACCTATGGCACGTGTGCAGGAAGTGGCACACAGAGCCATCTCTCTGGGCACACCAGCCATCGCCCATTGCTCTTCCGGATTCCGGTGTGCACATGTGCGTGCCAGCCAGTCGGTCTTCACCTGGACAAGAGTGCTGAAAACCAGAAAAGCAGCTTCCTGGGGTGTGCCAGCCAGCTGGTCTTTGCGTGCACATGTGTCCCAGAAACTGGAAGACCAGTGCATATGCATGCCGGAAACCGGAAGCTCAGCTTCCCAACATGCCAGGAAGCTGCTCTTCTGGTTTCTGGCGCTTCCACACGCGTGTGCGTGTGTTCCCATTTCAGCACTCCGTGCCAAAAAAGTTTGCCAACACTGGTTTAAGGTTGAATTCCATTTCATTCTATTCTGTTCTTTTCATTCTATTCCAGTATATTCTTCTGTTCCTTTTCATTCCATTCCACTGGTTTATGTACCACCCTCTTCCAAACAATACTGGGCGGCTCACAGTGTAACAAAGAAGATAGAAAGCAAAACCAAACCAACACAACAGCTAAATAAAAGCAGATAAACAGGATAGCAAATCCAGCCAACAACAACATACATATTGAGAATGCATTTACGGCTTTCCAGAATACCATCATGGTGGGAGCCACATGGATCTTGGAGGAAACCTCATTCCAGAGGCAGGTGCCATGACAGAGAAGTTACGCTTCCTGGATCTCAATCAATAACTCTGTTTAACCGAAGACGCCTAAATCGTGAGAACTCTGCCGTTTTTGTTTTTGTAAAAAGCTCAGATCCACTATCCCTATAGCCAGATCAAGGAGTATAACTGAGGAATGCAAACATTTAAGGCTGCCTTGACAATCGCAATAGCACTTAGGCTCATATACCGCTTCATAATGCTTTTACAGCCCTCTCTAAGCAGTTTACAGAGTCAGCTTATTTCCCCCAACAATCTGGGTCCTCATTTTACCTACCTTGGAAAGATGGAAGGCTGAGTTAACCTTGAGCCAGTGAGAATCGAACTGCCAAACTGCTGGCAGCCAGAAGACGTAGCCTGCAAAACTGCATTCTAACCATTGTGCCACCACCAGCTCTTTACAAAGTATAAGTTATTTTGTGAACATATTTACATTGTAGTAATCTCTAATGTATAGGTGCCTTATTTTCTTGTGTGAACGTCTCTCAAAGCTCACCAGCCAGAGCATTAAAAAAACTCAAAGAAAGAATGCACGATCAGATGTGGCGAGATCTGGCACACAGAATTGCAAAGAATCGGACATGATTGAATGGGTAACATCATAATCATATGGTATAGTGTTGGCAAAACTTTTCGACAACCAACTGCCTGGAAACCTGGAGAACAGCTCCCCGGTGTGCATGCACGGGAGTGCCAGAAACTGGAAGAAGTTCCCCAGCATGCATGTGCGCACCGGGAAATGGTAGGACGCATGCGCACACTGCACGCATTTATGTGGAGGATGCCGGGCTCCTTACCGGTTGCAACGGGATCCAGAACCCACCACTGCATAGATTCCCCATCACAGATATAGTACCTACCGTATATATAAACTCTTATACATTCCAACAGGTTCAGCAGGCAGCTGCATATTGCCCACCCTAATCTGGGCTTGGAAGATAAACAGGATCAGACCTGGTTAGCACTTGGATGGGAGATGACTAACAAATGCAAGGGCTCTTGATTAAACTAATAAGTTTAAAAAAAAAAATCTCAGAAGAACATCTGCAATGTTTCCAAGAAAATATAATAAACATATGCATGAAATAATCAGGAATCAAGCTTGAGGGAGACTTGAAATAACAACATGCCAACCAATTAATACAGTTCACCGGATCTGAGCCTGATGTGAATTTTAAAATAACAAACGTAGAACATTAAAACATAAGAAATGCCTCCAACGTATCAAAAGGGCATTCTTCTCTCCTTCTCTAATCATCCTGACTGCCCTCTTCAACACCTTTTCCAGCTTTGTTGTATCTTTTTCCAATTGACCTCATCAGTATACAAGTGAATTGTTTTGCCTCCTTGTGTATAACTTTGAACTTATTCAAATTGAGCAGGATGTCACTCGATGGATAATTCTCCAGTTTAAAAACATCCTTCCGGAATGCTTTACAATCACTTTGGACTGCACCACTCTGGAATAATTGGGTAAAATTTGTAAACGTGGCCCACTCACTGCTCATCTCTAAATCAATACAATTTATGCGCCACTCCCAAACATGAGATATTCCACTTCTTCTTCACTAAGAAATCAGCCTTTTATTGCCTTTACATCCATTTTTAAATCTCACAATGCCCTGGATGCATTATGCGCGCTTGGTTATTCCAAGGATGAGACACATTGCAAAATAGACACTTTTGTAGAAAAAAATGGTCTAAAAGAAAGCCATCAAACACAATGCTATCATCTGTGAGAATGCTAAACAGATAGAAAAGAATAGAATAAAATAGAAGAGAAGAGTTGGAAGGGACCTTTGAGGTCTTCTAGTCCAACCCACTGCCTAGGCAGGAAATCCTATACCATTTCAGACAAATGGCTATCCAACANTTGAGAATCTCCATAGACATTAAACAAGCTATCTTTTCCTCAGCTACTTTTCTTCACAGTACAGGCTTCCCACAACAACACTACCTCAAAGTTAACAAGCTCAGCTCTGTGAACTTAATTAGTTCATTAGAAGCCTTTGGCCTCTGCTGGGCCTGAAATTGACACTGAAAGCTTTTGTTGTAAATGCCTACTTTGGTTGGGAAATTATTTTTTATTGCAGTTTATTATTGTTGTCATTTATCCAAGGCAGTTATTAAATGAGGACTAGCCCAAAGGCCTTTTATCTTTACCACAGTGCATTGTTAATTCATTTGCATGTTTTCATTCAAAGTAAATGCCACTCAGCTTTCCTTTGTATTTTCCCTTACTTTTGTTTCAACAGATCAATAGCAATAAGTAGCTGAGGAAGCTAAGGATCAGGATGACAATTATTTACTGAATTTTCCGGTTATTCAGGACCTATGGGAGTTTACATTTTCTCATAAATAAGAATATACACCAGTTTTCTTTCCTTAAGCAGTTTCTCTCTTTCAGGTGGTTTCATCAAGGTCCTAATCCTCACACTGGCGGACATGACTGGATTTATTCTGGGAACTACTGGGACAGAAACTACTTCAACTTGCCGGATATTTATTAAAATGCATTGGAAATTCTGAGGCTAACGCAAGTCTTAAATCAGTTTTCAGTGTTTTCTTTATGCCTATATTCTTAGAAAAAAATTAAAAACTTGAAAGGTTGCAATCGAATATGACACTGGTGCTCCTGCTACAGCATAGCTCAGGCTGTTGGGAGTGTTGGGTTTTTGGGCATTCTCCCTAGAATGCGAGTTGTATTTGCCCATAATCACTGGTGCTGTACTTTGGAGAGACAGGGAGATTGCTACCCATATTTGTGAACTAAACATCAATTACAGGTTAAATGGGAAACAAAAATGCCTTTGAGTTTTGACTTTCTCTTTGGTGAATAATAATTATAGTAGCATATAATGAAAAACATGGCATTTCTTCTCAACCCAGTAACAAATGATCATCTGTGACTTATAATACTCTATGGCTTAAAGCATGAGAAGAGCATGACACTTTGGGGAAGAATTAGTCAACTTCCTTAAGACAGCATTCTATTAATTAATAAAATACAGGATCATAGATAATTCATTTATAATTTTATTTTTTACTCTCTGCATCAGGCTACTACTAGTTAATTAAAATTGGATAAATGCATAAAATCACTTAGCAATGTCTTTTCATATTTAGTGCAGTGTTTTGAATTTTCTCTTTCAAGTGTTATTAATATGCTATCTTTAAGGAATTAAGAGCCATTTAAATCTTTAAAAAATTAATTTGAACTAAAAAAGTAATTATTTTATTAAAAACCCTGGAGTGCACTAATATATGATATGGGACTAGTGGTTGTCTGAATATTGTTGGACTTCAGCCCTGGTCGCATGTTGAGCGGTCAAGAATGATGGGAGCTGTAGTTCAACCCTGGGAAGGCCACAGAGTCCTTATCCCCACACAAAGGAGTGTTCTGCACTACATGACATTACAAAGAAAAGACATGCGCCTGGGTCTATGCTGTCATAGCAAACGCTAGACGGAAGTGTACATTTCAAAAGCAGTTGAGACACTACTGTACAGAGCAAATTTACCCCTATGTTTGGGGTGCTTTAACCTTTATGAAATTATATATTTGTACAATATGGAGTACAGAACTTCCAGAGAGATTGCTGCTCTTGTATAATTTAATTGTGGTTTGGAAATAGTGTTAACTGAATATTTTACTGCTATTAAATAAAGGCTTTAGCTGTCCTGTGACAGGTGCCGTTTGATTCTTTGCTCTCAGTAGATTACAAGCAAAACCATTTTTGTTTTTGGTCTCTTGGCCCCATGTTGGAAGGATGGCATTGAGAGTGGCTCAGGAGACTGCAAGGGTGTTCTGGTTCCATCTGTTGTTGTTTTTTTTTCTCATTCTTGAAATACTGTTTTCTATTTTGCTGCTTCAAAGTAGATCTGTCTCTCATCTTACTGATAGATTATATACAGACAAGGCTTCAAAACTTTCCACAAATCTAATAAATGATCTAACAACATATTTCTGTTGAAGGTGTCCACATTTTTACTAGCAGTCATTTTTAAATTTTCAGTTTGTACAGGAAATCAACATAAGGAAACTCCTGGTTTTAGTTTTATGCTACTTGGCTACCGGTCTTAAGCCATAGGGAAAAAATGTCTTTAGATTCAGATTCCTTGTACTGCTTTATTGCTTGTACTAGTTAATCAATTTTAAATTAAAGATGCAGCTTTCCGTTCTGGGGTGAAATGTTGGACAGCACCTCTTCTCAATCTGGGAGGAAAAAAACATCAGCTCAGTACATTTAGCAATGGCTCAACCCACTAAACTTTGTGGTTTTGGAATGCTTTGATCTTCAAAAACCACTGCTTTATAATCAAATTTCCCTTTCATCTTTTTAGGCAGTACCACATTTTCAGTCTACATACATACATACATACGCTATGGAATGACAAGATCATAGTTGGCCTAAAATCTGCATTGCAAATAGTATTTGCAGGAAAAAACTAGGCACTGATTCTGAACAAGTGTAGCTTGAATGGTTCTGACCTATACAGCAAACATACATGAGTTGGTCCTAATCCAGTATCCTATAAATGTGTGAGAATACTATTGTGATCAATATGATGCACAAACATGCCATAAGCTGGGGCCTTCAGTTAATTTTACAAACGGCTCTACATCTCTCTTTTACCTGTAATAGTGGCAGGAAAATAAAGCCAGAGCAGCTATTCTTTTATTATTACAACTTGGAAATAATGCCATTAATTCTGATAAAGAGCACCATGCATGAAAGGAAAGGAAGGCAATGATAAAAATGCACCAAAAAGGTTTGTATGTATCAGTGCTGTTATTGAAAGGTAGCTCACATGTTTTAATTCAAATTCAAAGGAAGCAGATTTAGGCAAAGTTTTAAAAGGCTCTGAAAAGAGGCCCAAATAGAGTGCTCTTCTGCAACTCAATCAAAATTTATTTCCTGCAATCAAAGCACTGCTTGGAACGGCAGCCCTATGATGTCAAGAAAACAGTATGGCTGCTTGAATAGGTTGCAGTCTGGTACACCTTCAAATCCAGAGCTGCATAGTGCTATTTAATGTCATTTAACATGCTGCTCCCTGGGTCTTTAGTGAGCCATCAGAACAGGGGTGTCAAACTCATGGCTCACGGTCTGGATGCGTCATGTACTGACCACTCCCATGCCCAGTTTAGCAAACGGGCAAAGCCATATATCACGTGACGCTACTGTCACAGCACAAGTTTGACACCCCTGCATTAGAATAATGGTAAAAGTAGTCTTGGAGAAGGAAGACCCAGGTTCTTTTTCCTCCTTAACCCAATTCTCAAGAGTTGTGGGAAAATTAGGAGGCAATAGTCCTAGGTTTGTTTTGCACCCTTGAATTATATATAAAAGGGGGGGGGGTTTAAGAAATTTAATACTAATCCAATGCAGGAATCTCAACTATGGCAACTTTATGATACAACTAGGGAATTCTGGAAGTTGAAATCCACACATGTTAAAAGTTGTGGAAGTTGAGAGACACTCTTGAGGTGGCTCTGGACCATCTCTCTTGGCCCAGCCTACCTGACAGGATTCCTGTCAAAAATAGGAAGCATCATGTATGCTGCCCTCTTACACAAAGTGGGATATAAATAAAATTAGAAATATTTTTCTAACTTTCTTTCTGGAAAGGGGCATATATTCACTATATCCTGATATTTGTTCATCTTAAAGCAGCTGCACTTGCTTCAGTCCCTTAAAAAAGGGAAGGAAATCAACATGTTATCATGTTAGCACCCCGTCAAATCTTGTGCATCCCTGTTCCCCACTCAAAGAAAAAAGTACTATTCAGTTGCAAAAGGAAAAAAAAGCTACTTGTTCTGCTTAAAGCTGGCACTGTTTGGCTGGTGCCCTCAGAATGACATCTGGGAACAATCGGTCAAGAATGTCATGAGGGCAGAAGAACAAGTATACCAAGGAACAACTTTATTGTGAGCCCTCTTCAGACAAATGTGTCAAGTTTCCTCTCATGTAATCCCAACCATGTTCACTGTCCATATTTGACTGAGGATCAGTGACATTGAAGGCTACACATCTGAAAAACACCAGGTTTGAAAGGTGTGTGTAAGCTTCAGGGTCTCTACCAAAGCTTGAGCATCCACTCACCGTTTTGTTATTCTGTCCTGCGTACAGAGGCAGTTGTAAATGTGATCTCTCCTGCTATACCATAACTGCCTGCAAAAGCTGCTTTATCCCCAGCTCCTGAGCCATTCTTCCCATTCATCACATCTTCTAGAGGTATGGCAACTGAAAGAAAAACTGGAGTTGGCGGCCTGCCACTATCTTGTGCAGGGTTAAAATTGGGGTTGGCCATTTTTGGATCTGCTGCCCTGGCGATTGGTACAGGGATTGTAGCGAACCTCCTCACAGTACCAGCAGTGTCCGGCTGTGTTAGAACAGCATGGCCTGGGATAGGTTTCCAGTCCTGTTTATTTTGAACAGAAGAGCCCACTAAAATGAAAGGTGGTGCATTTCCCTTCTTCCCATCTTCCATCATCACATAAGTTGGAGAGGACACTTGTGGCGGTTGACCTTGTTGTATCATCTGCGGCTGTAGATACTGCGGCTGGTCCTTACCACTAGATATGAATAGGGTTGCTTGGGGAACAGTAGCACCAGTTCCAACAGATGGAAGGGGTGGAGGTGGTGGTGGTGACTTACGACCTTGTTGTTTCAAATCAGTTAGACAATAGAGAGTCCATACATTAGAATATGGTGGTGGCTGTCCTGGTTCGCTTGTTGCCATGGCTATAAAATAAAAATTTAAAGAAAAATTTGCTGGCATGAAAGACCATCTACTAGGATGTATGAACTACATATCTTTACAAACAACTTTATGCCGCAAAGAAGCATGTTACAAAGAAGAGAGAGTCTGTAGGGGCAAAAAATTGGACCTTGGTATGTTGAAAATAGAGGGACAATAGCAAAAGTGCCTTGTGGGGAAGAAGTTGCAGCTCAGCTTTAAAAAATGCTGATTCAACTAATCAGGGCACATTTTCAATTTAAGTTATTCATTCATTCATTTATCAGGTCCAAGAAATTGCCAAATTGCCAACATTCAACATGTGCCAGAGTCCTTTTGTCAACATAACATCAGGCAACTAGATTTTCCAGGCTTGCCCCACAGGTGAAGCCTTAGGGTCCTGTATGAATTCATTTTAATCAGCTCTCCCGTGAGTCAACGCAAAAGCCGTTGGATGATAAAATCAAACTCAAATGACTGGCAGCTTAAAATATTGAAAAATCCATCCATGACAAGCTTCGGGATCCTTTTAACCCTTCAGCATTCTCTCTTCTGTTAACATGCTTTTGTTTCTTACCTACCTATCTGTCTAACAGAACGTGATTCTTGGGAGATTTTGCAATCAGAGGTCAATGGATAAAAAAACATTAATCTTTCTCCAGCTGGCAACAATGGTGGCTTAGACACTTATTACAGAGGCAAGAAAACATTTTGAAGTGGTCCTGCCAGGGAGGAAAGCTAGGCCTCCAGTTACAACAATCCCATGTTTCTAAGTAAGAAGCAACTAATCCACCTTCTGTAGGCATCTGGAGAAGATTGGACCTAATGGGACAAGCGAAGGCAACCACCACCATTTCCTTTAAATGCAAAAACCATGTCAATGCCACAGTTTAGTCTACTATGTTTTTTAAAAAAATTAGTCACAGTCACCATCTCACTTTCCTTCGGCTGCCATGAGCATGTATGCAATTTTGATTCAAGCTGTGCAGTTTACTGTGAGCAAGTCTTCTGGTAGGAAAATGAAAGGCCAAGCATCTTCTATACCAGTGTTCCCTTGCTGAATTTCATCCCATGCTGCTTCTCCGTCTCTGTACAAAAAGAATATAATACAGGAACAGGAAACTAGGCCAAACTCGTGCAAAGAAAACTTTAGGGCTTATGCACAATCCACTGCACATCTGGAAGCATCCCACAGGCAAAAATTCCACACATGCACAATCTGCCTGACAAGTGCTGTGGGCCTGTAACACCCCAAAACGAGAGTAACCTTCATTTACTTCAACTCTGCACTGGCATGGCTATTTGCATTTAAATAAGTACAGTTCCAGTCCTTGAGGCACTTTCTTGGCCAAAGCCATATTGCAGGAGTGGAGAAACTTGTAGCCTTCCAGATGTGGCTGAACTACAATATCCAACATCCCTCAGGGTTGACGGTAATGGCTGAGACTGTTGGCAGTTCTAGTTCAGCTACAGCTGGAGAACTAACCTCTTTCCTGCTAATTTATCGCCAGCTCTTACCAACATAAATGCACCCAAGGAGATGGAAATGACTATTACTTATAGAGCTAAAATATTACAATGTGGAATAGGAAGGATTCAGAAATATCTTGACTTTCTTACCTGACATAATAAAACCTGGGTCAGTTGATTTCAGTTGCTCTGTAGTATCCATTCTGTCAGGGTCACATTCTGCATCATCTGCAGATGGATCTAGAATACTAGTAAACTGGCCTGAATTTAGTGAAGCCGTTAGTGGATCTAAGAGACAGGCTACTGTGTCTACAAAAGGAATGACTATCTGCTGTGGAAACTGCTCTACATAAGGTGGTGGTACAGGCTCTCCACCAGCGCTGGGGTCATCATCACCCACATTTATGATGTGTATGTCTGATGTGAGCTCAATTTCACTTGGGCAACCCTCTGCCTGAAACAGATCTTTATCAGGAGGCGGTGGTGGTAGCGGTGGGGGTGGCTCTCCTTCCTGCAAGGGATCTGAGGAAGCTTGTTCTACTAGGTCAGCAGGTGACTGCTCCGCCAGGTTGCCCGAGATAGCTATTTCCTCCTGGACGGAGCTCTGACTTTGAGTGACTGATCCAGCCCTGAGAGAAGTTGCAGAAGTTCTGATTTCTGCTTCCTCTGGGGCAGCGTCCCCTTCCTCTGGGGCGGGTTCTGCTTCCGTTGGGGCAGGCTCTGCTTCCTCTGGGGCAGGCTCTGCTTCCTCTGGGGCAGGCTCTGCTTCCTCTGGGGCAAGTTCTGCTTCCTCGGGGGCAGGTTCTGCTTCCGCTGGGGCAGGTTCTGTTTCTGCCTCAGCAGGTTCTGTTTCTGCCTCAGCAGGTTCTGTTTCTGCCTCAGCAGGTTCTGTTTCTGCCTCAGCAGGTTCTGCTT